ATATAGACACTTGACTGTAGTTTTCTTTGGGGTGTGACAGGCAGAAAAGCAAAGCGGTGAAGACAGCCAGATTTACCCCTAGCCCACAGGAGCTGCGTGCTGCAAAAGAAGGGAGGGTGAGACCTTTGGTGCAGCTCCTTTTGGAAACAAGGATTTTGAGCAGCTGATAGCACTTGAACTCAGGTTCTCCGTGTTTGGGTCTGGTTTAAGGCCTGAGGATCTCTTTTAGCACAGATCCTTCTGTGCTGTGTGACCCTTGATGATCATGGGGTAGGGATGTGAGCTGTGCTTGCTATGGGATGTGATGGGAAGGCTCCCTCCGGAGGCTCAGAGCCAATTTCCTAAGGCTGGTGCTGGGAATAACGTTTTGGCAAAGTGCTGACTCCTTGGTTTTCCTCATCATTGTCCTTATGAAAACCGCCCTTTCCTGAACTATTACCGCATTTCTTCTCGATTGGTCTCAAAAACAATGATCCACAGATTTGTCTCTTTAACCTGTTCTGATGTTGTTTATGCTGATGGAAAACAGGAATGATGCCAGCACGAGTTTGGGCAGCAGCTAATTAATGTCAGAGATTTCCTTCTGTTAGCCCCACTTTCTTTCTGTTAGCTCCACTTCCTCACAGTGCAGTTTTTACTGTCCACTGCTGGTTTTTTTCCTTTTGAGGTTATTCTGGTGTTGCTTAGACACAGATCCTCCCCCTGCAGAGTGGATTTGGCCAAGGCAGCAGAGGTATGAAACTCAGTATGCTGCCCCAGCCATGGCTTGAGCCACCAAGCTGCACGGGCCCACGTGTAAAGGTGCTTTTGGGTCTCTCCTTTGCTTTCCTGCTGTCAGTGCCAGCGGGGGAGGCAGGAGCCAGGCAAAGGGCAAGCATCATTCAGCATTGTGGTGGCCTGTCTTTGAACTGGTAACTTAGCCTTGAAAAGCCAGGTCTGGTAATTGCTGATTTTGATAATAACCGTGTGAATACTGTTATCTAGTCCACCCTTCCACTTTCCAGCCATTGTGCAGCGGTGCTGCCTCATTTCTTGGCTTGGCAATACCTGCTCATTTCCTAGGACCTGAATCAAAATAGCCTCTGATCTTGCTGCCCATTTCCTCGCCTAGCTGGGCACGAAATCACAGGTCTCCATCACTGCCAGGAGCATCCATCTTCCTTTCGTGAGCTTGTTCCAGCCACTGTTTTGCTAACTGAAAGCCTTCCAAATTCAGCGTTGCAGCCTATTTACTGGGTTTCCCAAAGCCACGTAAACTTTTCTGACTGCTTCCCTGCAGCTCTGGGACAGTTTCCATAAGCATAGGTTCTTCTGCACTCTTTTTTCGTCTTGAACCGGTTTCCTTACAAGCTAACAGGATCTACTCTCTCTCTGACCAGGAGATTGGGCTTGAAGCCAAGGAGTAAAATGCTTTTACTGGGAAGTAAAATCCATAATTGCATAGATTTAAAAAAATCATAGACCAAAGCCTCGTTTCTTGGCATAATTATAGTCTTTCTACTTCTCATTAACCCTTCCATGAATTAGCTGTTTCGCCCTTTCCCCCAGTGCCTTATCCCTTTCTCTCCGATGGGCTGTGTGTGCCTAACGAGCCTCCCAGCTGTTTCTCCTCAGCTCTGACGTTTGCTGCTTCTCTTTCAGCCCCAAAGGGGAAGGGTTTGTGGGGCCAAAACCTCACCACCGTCTTCCAGTTCTGTTAGTTCATCTAATAAAAAGGATTACCTCTACCCACCTCCCACGCCTCCCTTACATAAGAAGTGTGAATCATCAGGATCTCAAAACCACGATGCCTGCCCAAAGATCCAACTTACAAAGGACCGCTGGTAGCCCTGTTAGTTGACTGGAACTGCAACCTCGGGCTTCAGCAGGAGCCCAGGCAGGGGATGCGCTGGGTACAGGCAAGGGCCTTTCAGGTTTTAGTGGCCGTTGCTCATAGCATCCCCCTTCTGGACCCACTGCAGCAACACTTCAGCTTGCTCCTGTCAGGTCAGTTCATGGGGGTTTATGAGCTCTTACAATGTCAAGTTTGGGGGTTTTTTTCAGTCTACATAGGACAGAACTGGGGCAAAGTCCCCTGTGAATAGGTCTTACAGCCAGAGACAAGTTTGAGTCTACTTTTCATTTTTCTCTTTTTAAAGAAATACAGTGGTGGCATCCAGCACAGGACCTGCTGGCTGGTGCAGACAGATGCACCCTTCGTTACAGACCTGTCCTTCAGGGGCTAATGGAAAGTCACCCTGCCCTTCTCCTCTCAGCTGAGGAGTCAGACAAATGCAATGCTCCAGCAGGTCCCAGCCACCCAGAAACCTGTTGTTAGGGATCGCTGTCAGACTCCACACCAGAGCCATCTGTTTCATGCACAGCAAAGAGAGCATTTCATTTTTTCCCCAGCGTGGAAAGACATGAATCAAAGCAAAGGCAGGCGAGCAAATCTGGGGCCAAGGAAAACTGAGGGGAGGTGCTGAATTACCACAAGTACTTTGGATAGGTAAATGCTACTCAAGTGTCAAGAGAAGGGAAAGTGTATGTGTATGTAGGTGTCTGGCACCTCTTGGTTTCCATCCAATTTTGGGATAGTCCAGACAGGAGAACGGTAAATCTCCAAAATATATGTTCTCTGGCTTAAATTTGAGTGGGGAGGGGGGTGTGTGTGGTAAAGGAGAGTGAAAATCAAACCCATTCCTCCTTGGATTCAAAAGCTTGAACTGCAAAGGAGCCCAGGTAGGATATAAGGGCAGTGTTTTCCTTAGTCAGCAAAAGCAGGGTGAGGCAGGGTTCCACAGTTGTGGCCAAACTAAATCAATAGCAGCTCTTTTTCCAACCTCACCCCTGTTTATCTCAGACCTTTTATGTTCCTATGACTCCAGTGGTTCACATCGTGCTGGGTGGCATCTTAACATTAAATCTTTTCTCAAAAATTAAGTCAAGGGCCAATGTCTGGAGCACTTTGTTCTCCAAAATGCCCGTCCCTCGTCTTTTCTCTGTACATGAATTTTCTTCACTTCCTCAGATTGTTCCTGCTCCTCCTGCAGGAAAACCTCACTTGCTTGTGCTGTAGCTGCTGAACAACCCAGCAACCAAAAAATCAGGTGGTGGTCTTGGTTTAGGCTGCAGGGCTGCTCAGCACAGCACAGATGTTCCAAGAAGTCAGGCTGGGACTCTGCAGAGGGGTCTTGGGAAGAATCAATTTTTGTTAAATGTGCTCCCTCATCCTGATTGCAGCTCATCCTGGTTGTCTGTTACAGCTCTAGGGGTATTTAGAGGCCTGATTGTTCCCAAAACTGAGTGAAACCCCAAATTTCTAAGGTTTTTTTTAGCCACCTAACCACTCAGGTGGCCCCAGGGAAGGCCCCCGCCATGTACATAGCCTGACTCTGGGGCTGGGCATGTGAAGCATCAACCAGCTTTTCAGAGCCACCATGCCTTGTGAAGCTATCGACCCTGGAACATGCCAGGTTTCCTAAGTGCAAAGTGCACCTGTAGATTTTGACTCAAATGTGTGAGCACTGCCAGAGAAGGAAGGGAAGCAGTCCAGTGCCAAGCGGTTGCAATGCACTTGGTGTGGAGAGGGAGCAGCCTTCCTCTTAGTGGGACATCTGCGTAGCAGATCAAACATCTTCCCAGCTTTCTTAATCCATGCTTTTGCCCAGGCCTGCTGAAACACTTTCCTGTTTCAGATCACTTTTGGGGAAAAAGGTGTAGAGGCTCAGATCTCCCCTTCCTGCTTGACCGGTGGGGTGAGACAGAGCCGAAACACCTCCAACTCCCAGCCAGGGCACTGGAAAGGGATAGAGCGTGACACAATGAGCAGCCCTCCAGTTTGGTTAAAACCTCTGGAGCTGTTGTTTGGTTTCCTATCCTACAGAACTGAAAGCAGTTTTGGAAAATGAGAAACATGTGAAGCCTCGGCATGGTCTGGTGGTGGGGATGCCTTTGTCGCCTGAGGAGTCTTGCTCCCCTGGGAGGTGCCACCCAGGTGCCTCTGAGGTCTCAGTGTGGTGCTGCTGCCAGGCAGCCCCAAAGCACTGACCTCCCTGTCCTTGCAAAATTGCCATAGGAGTAGGGTGCAGTATGACCAGCGCAGCTGTCCTCACCCCTGAGAATGGAAATCACCATGAGGAGAACGATTTATGCTGGAATTGCCCCAGAACCAGCAATTTGAGCCTAGGGTCAGGAGCCACCCTCTGTCTCCAGCCATCGGTGTAAGGAAAAGGGAGGCAAACTCCAGGTTGGCTCCTGCTGCCCCTCAGTCCCAGGCAGGTCCCGCAGCCAAAGAGGGGTGCCACCAAGCCTCCCTGCATGGGCACAGACTGAAGCCTTATCCTGCAACCTAAATTTGGGAGCTGGACAAGAGCAAAGGCACAGCCACACACACTGCGGGGTTGCTGTGCACATCGCTCCCCTTTTGGAGGAGGAGTGTCCCAAAAATAGAGGTCCAAACCTATTGCATGGGAAGCTGCCTTCAAACTGTGGCTGTCTAAGGGCAAACAAGAGATCACTGCCAGGGCAGAGGGGAGGAAGCAGCTGGCTCTCATGGGATAGCTCTGCCCACAGCAGGCAGGGCTGCCCAGCAGCTGCCTCCCATCCCCACAATGAGCAGGGAAATGGGTGACCCCCACAGCAAGAGTCATTCTCCAGAGGGGACCCTGTGCAGAGCTGGGAAGAGGCAGGCATGAGGCATCAGCCTCATCTCTCATGGAGAATCCCACCAAGGCCACAGTGGGACTTTTTTTGAGGTGTAAGAGTTGTCCTACACTTTGAGCAAGGACTACTCTAGAAAAAAACAAAAAGCCCTCTGCTCCCCACCCCCCCCCCCCCCCCCCCCCCCCCCCCCCCCCCCCCCCCCCCCCCCCCC